TAGTTCGAATTAAGGGGCTACACAGCCCTTAATTCGAACTAGCTAGTTCGAACTAGGCTTAATCCTCGTAAGCCCTTTTCCGGAGGATCTCTTGTAGGAATAAGAGATCCTCCGGAAAAGGGCTTTTTTCCAGAGGATCAGGGCCAGTGTAGACGCTCTTTTCCGGCTTTTCTAAAAGCCGGAAAAAAGCGGCGGACATTTTTATTTAAATGCCGCGGGGGATATTTAAATCCCCCGCGGATTTCCCTATTATGACCTGTAAAATTAGCATGCTCCTTTCGGAAAAGGGGCCAGTGTAGAAGTAGCCTATGTAACTTTATATTATTGCTCTTATCTTGCCTTACTATTAGCATCTATCCAGGGGGGTCCGGGATCTTCCCCCTCCCATCACTTTGATCTGCTTGCTTCACATACGGTGTCGAGATTCTATTCCTTCAGGTGGGTAGAGACCAGAGCCAGTGTCAAGAGCTGGTGAGCAGTAAGAGTCTCCCCCAGTACTGCTACATGGTACAGCTCCTGCAGCAGGGCTGAGGGACAGCCTTCCTGAGCCAGTGACGAGCAAGCATAATGCAAGCTCCTCCCGGGGACAGGTGCTGGCCATGATGTGACTTGAGGAAGTTCAGGGCCCAGTGCCAATCAGGCAATGGCGAATGCCCAATCATCACTGCTGGCTTCCCTCACAAAATTTTGATGTCTCGGTGCCGCAGGCTTCAAAGCCTTTGGCTGCTGTTGCGGTGCCACGATTTCAATGAGAGAGCCTAATTCGAACTACCTACTCTGTGCCGCGTGTAGCTGCGGGCACGGAGTCTGCACTAACGGGGATTTAAAAATGGCAGCGCCCAGCAAGATGCAAATGAAGCCCGGGATATTTAAAACCCGGGCTTCATTTGTGACTTCGAATGCCTACGTTAGCCACCTTAGTTCGAACTAGGGTGGTAGTGTAGACATACCCTAAGGGACTTCATTAGTCCTTCCTCTCAAAATACCACTCCCTGCTTTTAGAGAGTGGCCCAATGTTAGTCCAAAACCCCTTTGTAAGCTTCATGACAGCTTGAGACAAGCCTGGGACCCACCAGAGTTGGGCTGTTAACTCTGGATCCTACAGATGGCAGGTCAGGACCAAGTCTAACAGGCTTGAGCCACAGGAGATGGGAGTGGGGAGGAGAAGGAGATGCATCCCAACCTCCTACCCTGCTTGGTACCTTCCACAGCAGGCTCCTTGTCGCAGGTGCCAATAGGCGCAGTGGGGTCGGAGCCCCCCAGCGGGGCACTCTCACATTCACTAGTGGCAGTGGTGATAGCAGCAGCAAAAGGGGGGCCCGACAGCCAGGGGACACCGGGCGGGGAACAGCACTTCTCCTCCGGGGCACTCGAAGGATCCTTCCTGGCCTCTGGAGGGAGAGAGAATGAGTGACCATCTGATGGGCTGTGCTGCTCTCCCCGTACAGTTGGATGCGTGCCTCCTCCCCTTGAGCCTCCTGTCCACCATACCTTTTTCAGGGGCCTCCTTCAAGCTGGGCTCAGAGCCATCCCACACATCCTCCTTTAGTTTCAACCTCTCATCCTCTTCTTGCAGGGGATGGAAGTCGAACTCCTGCTCCTCAGGGATTGGCTCCTTGGGGCTCTTCTGTCAGAGAGGAGGACGTGATGGGTGTCAGAGGTTAAACCAGGATCCCAGCTATACATCCATGGGGGGAGGGAGGTGAAGCATCCTACCCAGGTCCTGTCAATCTGACCACCATTTCTGCCCACTCCCTGGCCCCGTCAACAGCTGGAAGCCAGGACTCCTGTTTTCTCCCCCCACTCTGTGAGGGAAGTGGGGGCTGGTGGATCAGAGCAGGTGAGTGGGAGCAGGGAGCAGGAGGAGGACAGGGAACCAGAACTTTCCTGGCTTCTCCCCCATCCTTTCCCACTACCTTGAGGGGCATGAAGGCACCAGATGAGTCGAAGGTGCCCATCTCCTCGTCCTCGTCGTCCATGCACCACTCAGGCAGTCCATCCTTGTCATCCTCAAAGGCATCACTGCCCCGGAGCCCCCGCCCACCTCGTTCCTCCTCCCGCTCCCGGAAATCGAAGTCGAACTTGCGCAGCCGGCCCCCAGGGCGCTCCCCCGAGCA